GAACAGGGTTGTAGCGCTCGATTAAGTTAATCGGCCGATTATGGGTTTAATCAGTTGATTAGTGAACGGTGAACACAAAAATAACTTTAATCAGCTGATTAAGTACTTATTAGTTTGTTATAATTATTTTAATTTCCATTTTTAGGTATATAAATTTCTAACACTGCCGTACTTTGGTATCACTGAAGTAAATTATTAGAGTTACTAATTAAAAAATATAAAATATTGGTCTTGTATTTGGGAATTAACGTAACTAATAAGCAGATGGTGGTCTGCATTTTATTCACCACATACGTCAGGAGTAACGACCCAAAATGACCCAGTTCTCTCCTTCTTATCCCTGGCACAAGGGATCTATTTCCCATAACGATAATATGAAGAAAGCGTTGGGTCTTTTTAGGGATGATATTTTATGCTTTTGTTTTTACTTCCTTCTTAATGATCAAATAGCATTTTTTGTTAAAGCACCAATTGCAATGTAAAAAATAATGTAAGATAAGATTACAATACCAAAATACCGGCTTAAATAAAACTTAGATAATAACTGTAATGTTCCATAGTTCGAAAGCTTATTTATCAAAGAAAAAAGTTATCGCAGTCAGATGACTAATTTGCGAAGTTTGGAGCTCGATTGCAAAGTGGTCGTCGCGTTCGGTCTCGGGTCATCCCGAGTACTACCGGAAAGCACATTAAGCCGTTAGTCCCGGCTGCATCAGGAGTCGGTAAAACTCACCAACCCACATTGGGCCCGCGTGATTGGTCATGGATTTAATTCGATTCCAGCCATAGGAAAGCCCTTAACTCTAGCAGTTAGGATAGTAATAAGCTGATGATTATGATGTCTAATTTTCGAGAAATACTTGCATACAAACCTTTAAATGAATGAAATTACATACACACGGGTATGGGTTAAGAAACCTTATAATTCGTTTAAAAAGCTTACAAATTCAGTCACTTGTTTGATTTCTTACAAATTGTGAAAAACAAGGAATAAAGTTAGTAATTACAGTCAATAGAATTTATTATTGTTAGTCCTCTATTATAATACGTCGAATTAATTACTTAGCACTGTTCTTTACTTTTACTGAACACATGATATACGAGCATTTTCACCACGGAACCAAAGGAGCTGTTACATTTTTCTGCTTCAACAAAGTTTTTTTTTTTATGAAATTACTGAGGAAAGAGCCGGCGTTTTGGCTGCAAAGGGGCTATTCCCTCGTAAAGTTGCAAATGAAGTAATATTATATCGGCCTCGACCTGACTTACGGTCGGGAAGAGATGAATTTTCATGAGCGAATTTTTTCTATCAGTCATTGTCGCAAAACGCAAATAAAGGCTAACTCAGTCACGGAATTTGAGTGGCTGGCTGAATGAGAAATTGCCAATTTCAAGGTTCCGAGCTTGATTCCTACCGCGTAACTACATTGGCTTCATTTAGTTGTAATTAATAATATTAGATTAATATAAGTGTATTAAACCTATAGTATAATTTCGAACCTATGTATTGAATCTGCTGTAATTTTGTTCAACAATACGTCGCTGTAGCTATGCAGTGAACTTGCTGGTCTATGTTGAGTTAGGTTGTTGTTGTGGGTGCTTTAAACATTTTTATTTCCCATGACACTCTTTTCTGTTTAAGAATTTCATTAAGTCAAAAAAGAATTTTTACAATGCACTTACTCGAGAAATATGTTTGTGGCAAATACAGTAAAACATCACTTCACAACCAGTAACCATGTAAATTTATACAAATTGATTACTGGCAACACAGTTTTTTTTATAAGGAGGAGTAAACGCTTGTCTGATGTCGGGGAGGCATTTTTGTGTTTGGGATTCGAACATTCGGATGTAGAAGGCTATGCATGTACTAAAAGTGTACTGCTATAGATAAGAACTGTGACGTGTTAGAGGAATAAGTTGTACAGCACTTGGACAAGGTTTTATTTAACACATTAGTTATATCAGTTCAATCATTAAATTTATACACTTTATTGCAGGCACGTGACTATACTAACGTCGAGAAAGCGGAAGATGTACTTAAAGACCGTACCTTGTGACAATCAGCTCTCTGCTTATTATCTAGTAAGAAAACCGACGTGAAAATAAAGCGAAATAGATATTAACTATACTAGTTAAGAATGAAAAATATTGATCGGAAACATAAAAGAAACTTGGACGAAAACAACGACTAAAAAAAAGATCACGTTTAAATTTATTTGACATTTTGACCGACGCAAAACCGCGTCTGTGAGCAATTCACAGCCATACACAAAACATGCTGGACATGTATTATCAACACGCGTTCGTCATCGAACTCGAGACACGTTTTGTCTACACCAAATGTCACCAGAATGCTTAATGTCAGATTTAGAAGTTTTAGACGTATGGAAATCGACACAGGCGCCTGGCGGTAACTTTAAGAACTACAAATTTCCATACATTCAGCGCTCTAAACTTTTCTCGAGTTGGAAGCGTGCTGATCATTTGACTGCCAATATGCTAGAGAGATACTTTGCCTCTGAATGAATATTGGAGAGCGATTATAAATTTATAAAAAATATGGAATGTTAATATGTTAATAACCCCGTCATGGTAGTTCGACATTCTTCTGGACCTTTCACATAAATTCTAACCCCCCCCCCCCCCCCATTTTTTAACTCAACAAAAAAAGATTTAAGTTTACGTTTTGCCTTGTCGTGTTAACCTCCGCATTATCCTGCCTCATATTATCACGATTTCATACATTCTATCTACGCTCGGTCATCTACAGTAGAAGCCATACATTTATTTTACTACATCTTAATGTGACGTGTTGTGACTGCCGTCTGGGCGCAGCTTAAGATGCCTTATTTTCTTTTGCTATTTATTTAATGTCATTTAATTAAGCTGCATAAATTGGACTGACCATTCCGTCCCAAATAGCAAACCTAGAAAAGGGAACTCTTGAAATATTTTCAATACTTGTGGAAAATAAATGACTTTAATCTCATGGGACTTACTATACATTACATTTAATATTATTATAGCTATATATAGATTTATTATTAAAATCTATCCATCTAGGATAGATTTTAATAAATAAACATGTAAAACTGATAGAGAAATGTTATCATGATACATGTTATCTTGTGTGATACGTGGGTTTTGCTTATACCATTTAATTCTATTCATATGGAAGTCCCATATCTTATAAATGGAAACATTAACAGGCTGATAATAATAATGTTAAACTCCTTCGTAGTGGAGTGGTTTGTACGCCGATTTCAAGGTGTCCTCATCTCTGAGGTCACGGGTTCGGTTTCTGATCGACTCAATGTGGACGTAAAACTAATTTGTATTGTCTCAGGACTAGATATTCTGTTGCCTCAATTTTTCAGATTTTCATAATAAAGGTTTAAGTGCTATAGCTACTTAATATGGGATAAAAGCAATATATTATATTCCATTATTATTTTATTAGATAGGTACCAATTCTAATATTTATTTTAATACAATGTTAAAATATAACTCTTTTTTTGCCAGTTTTCATGTTAGAACATAATTTTTCCCTATACTGTAATCCGATATAATTTTTGTACATCCCAAAGTATCTCTAAAAATATCATCTTACAATACAATAGTTGACAACGTCATTGCCAATTCACATAACCCTTGTCAAGCATAATAACGTTTGGCCCGGTGCCACAAGCTGCGAGGAAACAAACTATACTGGGCCATCACTATGAATATTGTTTTTACTATTTCAGAAAGGAATTGTACCGTTCAGCGGGCATATGGAATATGCTTCTAGACTTTTATGACCATTTAAAGTTGGATTGGATGTGATAACTTGAAAATTATTCTTTAAAACTCAAATATGAATTACAGTTACTTATATTTTTATACCCGTATCAAAATTTAGTTCAACAATTCCCACAATTACATTTTATTGATAATGATTGTTCTCGCAAATTATTTTGCGACGTCACCAGCTTCCAGAAGCTGAAAGAATTTTTCTAATCGATCTAGTAGTTTTGTGACCTATTCAATGCAAACCAACAAACAATCTTGTCTTTCCTATTTATATTATTAATATAGATTATCCTAAAATAAATAAGTATCACATCACCGTCCTATAATATCGCCTCTGATGGGGTACAGCCCTTGTCTATGGATAGAATCGAATGGAATAGTGAGAATGGGCTACCACCACGCGGACCCAGTGCAGATTAGTGGGTTTTAACGATTCCAAATGCAGAACTTTGTATCTTATACGCTACACATATCTTATTTTGCACCAACATAAAAATGAAAAATCAAATTTAAAGTGTAATTCCTTTCAAACTAAGCAACAGTTTATGTACTTAGTTGTGTATAACTTACAAAAGTACCAAGAGATCACGAATCCAAGAAGTTGTACAGCGTTTGTTAAACGAAAGTTAATGAATCCAAAATCAAACGCTCAATTAGACGAATCTACTTTATAGGCAGTCAAGGATCAACGGAGGAGCTACTTAAATCTTACATAATTAGGGACCGCGACGAATAAGGGAATTGCTCAAATGCCATAAATAATTTATAGGGATTCGAAGCTGTACAAGTTTTGAGAGCTCTTTGGTATTTCCTTGAGCCCTCTCCGGGCAGTCTCCACGAAAGCAATTATGTTGTCAGACACTTTATTTAAGATTATTTTGTGCTGCGAAATTTATGGCCGATATTATTAAATATGACGATACGACGGGACACCGCCGTGTTGGGTGGTTTTTGATCGAGCTATTATTATTAGGGGATCTTATGAAAAACATCACTTAGGTATAAAAATCCCTGAATGATAAGATTCTTCTATTACAAAATTGAATTGTGTCTATGGAAAGCCAATGAATTGTAATCGTTTTCAGTTTTTGTTACTAGTTTTGTACGTTATAGCATTTGCGAAAGTTTATATGGCTAACACCATTCTCGGCATCGCAGTGCACACCGAAGTGATGTTTAAACATTTGATATATGGTTTGTTTTAGATGGCGAGCACGACGGACTCAGCGCATTGCTCGGGGCGTCATCTCCCGACCTGGCCCTCGCGTCGGACGCATCGGACAGCCTCCCGACACCGGACCACGATAACGGTGAGTAATGTGAGCCACGAGAACAATGGAAACAAACACGTAATATAGATAAGTATTGTATAGGCATAATCAACTTACCTAGTAATATAGATTGGCCTATCTCGTAATAGGTACCAAAGAATCATTTTAGGATCCACGACATTTGACTAGCAATATGAGCTGGCGCTCTCAACTCATTTTGCTAGTCATGTAGTAAGTACATGCAATTTTCGTTTAAGCCTCCGGAAAAAAACAAATATATATATATAAAAAAATTAATTAGAATCTTGATAAATATTTATTCTAAGGATTCGTATATAATACTGACCATGTCAGATCCTAATTAAAAAAAGTAGAAAATAATTGATCTAAGCAACTCAAATACACGATTGAGCTCAAATTGTATAAGCCATAGATGTACATTATCAGACCAAGCTCCGTTTTGGCTATATTAGTTGCAACGGCTAATCCGATACGAAACATTCTTCAATTAATTATAAACGTTAATGTTTAAAAGTTGAAGATTTTCGATAAATTTACATAATCGATTCAGGGCAAAATCAAAATAATCTTTATTTAAATAGACTTCTCAAAAGTAATCGCCCAATATTTTTTCCCTATCACTCGTTCACGACGCTTTAATCTTAGGATGGTCATTAATTTAAAAAATTTATAAAAATATTACATACCAAAAAGTCGTTTAAACTCGCAAAAGTTAAAAGTAATACATAAAATATAAGATATGTTGCACACACAAACACTTGCTTCTAGCTGGATCCGAATTAGCAACCATGACTTTCAGAACCTAAATCAGATAGAGCTGTCTCTAAAAGTTTGGTTCTCATTTACATTAATTACAACGTCAGACGGTTGATTTAATAGTAATTACTCTAACGGCCCTAATAATTAGCGCCACAACACATCTATTTGGGTAGTTTGCTTAGTTTCCTTTGATCTAAGTTAGAAATTGATATATAATATGAATTCAGAATTCAAGATTTAGTAAACACAAATAATATAGCTAACTTGACATTGCAAGGTAGAAAGCTAAATTTCGATGTGCAATAAATACTTGATAAAGGAGCGAGCAACATTACACTTAAAAAAACTGATTATATATTTTCTTAACGTTATTTTATTATTGGTAAAATTAATTTGCGAAAATTTACCTTCAGCATTGTACGTTAGTTTCCTTTTACTGTAACTACATCAATTACAAACATCGCTAAATGCAAATCATTTCAAAGCACCCAGTTCTATACACTTTACTTAGTTAAATGCGATGAAGCGGGGTTTCGTCGTCTCGAATGATTTCAAGTTATTTATGTGAAGAGATTAACGGGTGTACTTATCTCGTCAAGCATCGTACCACATGGTGGCGCATCGCAATATTTAATTTCAATTTATATTGATATATCATCACCATCACATCATCACCAGCCCTTTTACGTCCCCAATGCAGGGGCTCAGGCCTTCCTTATGGATGGTTAAAGAGGATGGGCCATAACCCTCCACGCTGGCCCAATGCGGATTGGAGGGTATTAACAACTGCAAATGCAGCCCGGACCAACGGCTTAACGTGCCTTCCGAAGCACGGAGTAGCTCGAGATAATAATTTTTTGGTCACCCATCCCGTGACCGACCCTAGCGAAAGTTGCTTAACGACTAAGATCGCGGGCCGCGGCGCTTATCTACTACGCCACCGAGCTACTAATTAATTTGATATATACGATCAATATAATTCATATATATTATGATGTAATTCTCTGAAGTTTCGTGATGAAGAAAACGCTGTACAATGTCAATGATGATGCCTCGTTTTATTCTAGTCATTGAAAAGAGACTAGACTATTTTTTTTTAATTTGAAAAAGTTTAAAATATTTTAGTCGACACTTGAATATTATAAATTAACTGTTCAATCTACCTCATTTTTTTCCAAAATACCCACCTATTTTAAAACTTATTTGAATCAACAGCTGATTGCAACAAAAACATTTATTGTGTTTTTAGCAAAATATCCGTCTGTGAAAAACTACAACTAAAATATGTTCTTTGACAAAGACGAGTAACCAATCGGGATGAATATTTATAGGCCCTCTAGTGTAATACAAATTATTTCTAAATTAAATCAATTGCTTATGATTAATTAAAGCTCCTAATATTCACATAGTTCTAACCATAGATATTATGTATTAGATTCCAGCATTAACTAGTAACACTGAGTTATGCCTCTTTATGAAATTAGCTAAGAGATGGGATGCCGAGTTGTGTAAACAATCCCTCTTTGATATACAAATCGTAATGTCAATATTTCATATTTATACTTGTGACCGATGCTTGGTAATAATAAACGACTAGAATGTGAAATGTGAAAGCCTTTTTCATCATTATCAGCTAGTTGACACCTTTCTTTATACACATTTACCTATCTCTAATCAACAAACATAATAAACCTAACACGAGGACATATAGCAAATTTGTGGATATTTCAATTAATTTTTAAGAGAAACACCCTTAGTATTCCTTCTGCTTCTTCTTTCTAAGGGCGTCTTCGCAAATTGACGACCAAATTGCGACGATTTTGGATGCGGATATGTGAACGGAAGTTATTCCAGCCAGTCCAGCTCCACCAGAAACGCTCCAAGAGCCTGTGATTACTTCAGTGATGATATCCTGGAGGTTTCTCCAGGATCATTTGTAATAAATATCATATCAAAGTTTTTTACGATTCATTACAATCAATAGAAAGTGATATTAATATTAACTACAAAAAATGTTTCATAAAGCTTGCATCGTATCTCTCAAAAGAATCTTAACAGGACATATTTATAACAAGCTAACTCAAGTACGCTAAGCATGTATGGAGATTTACAACGCTCTTACACGATACGACAATAAAGTTGAACTTTTTCGAGAGTTCGCCGTCTCTTGTATTAAAAGTGGCACGTGCACGTAATCACCAGAAGAATCTTTAGCAAGAAAATGTTCAGCTTTACAAAATGCTATATTTTAACAGACAATTTAATTATGAGAGATTTTGACATAGGTTCACTTTCCTGCGACGGAGATGAGTGTCATTATTGAGAGATACGCCAAGACCTTTCGTTATATATTAATTAGATAATTAAATTTAAATATGTTTGTTTTATTTTAATTAACGTGTCTTTACCCGTTAAACTCTACTAGTAAGCTTAATGTAGGCAAACTGACAAATATTGAACGCCATCTTCTGTAATTTTTAAAGACTATCTTTGACTATTATTTATGGTTTCGATTGCTTATTGAATTAAATACATGATGACTATATATATATGGCTGATATTAAAATCGACATTAGTCTGTCATTAGTTCTGTAGTTTGGTGCTAGAACAGGACGCAAGACAAATGATGAGACCCCTTAATATTAAAATAGAATTCGTCTAAAGTACAAATATCACATTTAGAAACCACTAATAAGAGTCGCTATGAAAATAATAAGACAAATGTTTGACATATTTTACTCGATGTTAATTTAATTCATACTAGAATAACTTTATGTGAGCGCTGTATAATGTCTTAAACAATAAATGACACAGTTCCTACACTATGTCGACATCAACTTCACAAACGACCGTAAAACTTAACCAGTTATTCTACACCAAATTGTAACGATAAAGATACTAGCACACATATAGCGACACGAACAGGTACTATATACTCTAAATCTACGCTGACACCCATCTACATATTCCGCCTTACCGTATCTCATAATTAACATATAAAATCATGTTACCTTGATTGTATATTTGCAATGAATAGGCTTCAAAACTACTGGACCTATTTAAAATAATCTATCAGCTATAGGAAGCTACATAATACGTGAGTTATATATGCAATAATTTACGTAGGTGAGCCACGGAAAAACTGCTTGTGTGTTATATTTACATTAGCAGTCAATGGGCAAAATGTAAACCTAATAATTAAAAAAAAACATTAATTACTTTTAATTTGAATTGAAGATTAGGTGCACGATATATAATAAATTATTTATGTATTCATAAATATTTATTCTTTTTAGAAACTTTTCATATTTCTAGAATATATTGTGTTAAGCTTAATGAACAAAGTTCTGAATTAAGTTTAAAGTTAGCTAGATCGATTTGATAACTTCCTTTTAAATCATTTCTATGTGTTTAATACATGTGTTTAAATACATTTATTGTATAATATATATAGAAAAAATATCAAATTAAATGCTTTTGTAACTTTGTAAAAAAAAAACTCGCTTAAGTTTGACAATCCTCAAAAATAGACTATAAAAGCGTTTACGTATTAATGCTTTTTATGTCATCCATATCGCATTACACATCGCAATGAGACGTGTCTAGAACCCTTATTTCTGCTCACACGTGACGCTCGACCATTTTGTTTGGGGAACCGTACTCCAACTCCAACTGCTATTTGTCATTCTCATTTGCATCTAGTTTCAAAGCAAGTTTATTTTGAGTATCCTGAAGACTTGTATAACTATAGTCGACACGCGTATCCATAGAAGCATATTAATAGCGATTTGATTGTAATACGAAGTCTCACTATTTAGGTGAACTCACAAGATGAATAGAAAAAGCGCTGGTATTTGAATTACCACATTTTAAAATAACAATCCATTGACAAGTGTTTAAAATAAAAAATGCTTTAGTTATGAAATCTTCTGAGACAAAAATGCACAGATTCCGATGGTTTTAAAACAATGACAACTGGCAAGTATGTTGGCGCAAATCTGATCAAACGTCAAGGCTAACGTGACAGTTAACAAATAGGAAAATTGAAAAAAAAATCGTTCGTGAAAGACATGGCTGGGTCTCTACTCTAGTATAATATACCTATTGCTTTCTATTCATGTTTACTGTGAAAAATATTTCAATACCAAGGTACTAAAATTCATCCAAAATACATACTGCTTTATCATTTATCGTATTGATATAAAATTCTGTGTGGACATCGAAATATATCGACAGTTAATCATTATATCTCTCAATTGTTTGCTTA